GCAGCAGAGAATCAGAGTCAGTCACCTCATCTAGTCTTGCCCTTGATAGTTTTATCCTTAATCTTTCAACACTGTCTAAAGGCTATCAGGCCGATGGACACATCAATGATCAGTGGGAGACCTGACTAAATGAAGACAAACAAGATATAAACCCGAATGAATATTAGCTGGTTGAATTATAGTATTTTAGAGAAGGAAAAAAATCAAGTAAAACAACTGAGTGTACTCAACAACTAATGAAGATCTGAAGGCTTACTTGGTTGTGGACTCTACATAAGTAAGGGAAGTCACCCTTCCTCTCTTTACCACCAGCCCTCTCACCCTCCCTTCCTTCCTTTCTTCCTTTTTCCCATTTGCCAATATAAAAAGAAAACAGATTATCAAAGAAGCTTGAGGAGAAAAATATCATAAGTATTACTTTATTAGCTGCAAATATTATATACATGATTCCTAAGAGTTGAGTAGGAATAAAGAGTAGGAATGCATTCAAAAATCAAATATCTTCTCCTTTTTGGAAAGAAGGATTCCACCTTACACACAGTATCAACTATAACTTGAGCGCATTATTCCTAAAAGTTTGCATTTATCCATAAATGCAACAGACTCTGTAACAGACTCTGAGGTCAAAATCATCATGTGTGATGAAGTGTCACCTTAATCTCTCTACCAACTTCCCACTGAAGATTTGCAAATACTTCAATCTTCCTCTTCTACCTCCAACTAGCTCCTGATTTTAGAGAGTAGTACATATAAAACTACTAAAATCTACTCAAATATAATATTTTCCCTCCTTCTATTACTAAAACAAAATAAACTCCTAAAAAATCTAGAATGAAAATTAGAAAACACCATCTCCTATCCTAACATAAAAGGACAGGCTGGGAGAGGTCAATGGGGGTAAAAAGAGGACCTATGTAATACTTTCGAAAATAAAAATTAAAAAAATGTACAAGTATAACAAACCCTCCCCATCTCATCTTTAAAAAAGGCTAAGACAGAACCAACCCAACCCCCTTGCACTTTTATAGCAATAAGTGAGATAAAGTCAACCCGTTGTACCTGGCACTTAATAAATGACATTTACGCATAGGAGTAAAAGCTCTGCTGCTTTAGAGAATATGAAGAGTTGGCTTTCATTTTCACTTTAGTTTCCTTTATAAAAATCATATGGTTATTTATGTAAATGTAAGTTGGGTAGTAATGTAAGTTGGCTTGGGATATGTTTATATTATAAGGTGCAGCAGTTAAGACACTGAGCACATAGCTGACTCTCCTTAGGTCTTCTAAAGCAGTGCTTGTCAACTGTGAAAAACAATCTGTGAAAAAAAATCACATTTTAGTCTAATTTCCAATTTGTTAAAAAATAACCTTTGTACAATACAATAAAAGTGAACTTTGAAAAACATAAAACACAAGCTCCCAATTTTCATTACTGTCAAATTTTTATAAAAGTTTTAAATATGTGCCTGGCCGGTGTGGCTCAGTGGTTGAGCATCAATCCAGGAACCAAGAGGTCACTCGTTCGAGTCCTGCTCAGGGCACAAGCCCAGGGTGCAGGCTTGATCCCCAGTAGGGGGTGTGCAGGAGTCAGCAGATCAACTATTCTCTCTCATCATTGATGTTTCTTTCTCTCTCTCCCACTCTCCCTTCCCCTCTCTGAAATTAAAAAAAACACATTTTTTTAAGTTTTAAATACTTCCTAAATTTCTATCTTTATCTCAAGGCAGACAGGTAATAGAACACTATGCAGTCCACAGACATTTTTAACACTGTTACAAAGAATGCTTGATTTTAGAAATGAATGGAGAGTGGCTGTTTGTAATAAAATAAACTGAAATTAAAAACTAAAAATCATTCTCTTACTAATGATGTTCCACTTACATTGATCTCAGCTCAAATTAGATATTAATTTAAAAATATCAGGAGTCCTGCTAGGTGGCTCAGTTGGTTGGAGCATTATCCCTTACACCAAAAGGTTGCAGGTTTGATTCTTGGTCAGGGCACATAACTAGGTTGCAGGTTCAATCTCCAGTGAGGATATAAATGGGAGACAGCCTCTCTCTCTCTCTCCCCCCTTTTGGTGAGGATAAAAATATAGACAGAAAAATAGCCAGTATACCATATTAACCCCTCATAAAAGCCACATATTTGATACACTATGTTAAAAGGTTATTGAATGTAGTGACTGGATTTTAACTTAATACTGATTTAGTACAGAATAACTTCTATACTGTAGAGCAGTCACTAAATAAACTATGAAAACCAAACAATAAAAGTAACCTCCCAGGTTTACATTTAAATTATTAATGAATTTCGTTACACTAATAAAACTATTTTGGAACACTTGGCTACTTTAACAGAACCTTTTCCTACTTCAGGTAGTATTAAAAACACTTCTATGTTCCTGTATAGAGTTATTAAAGAGAAACCTCAATAGCATAAAGCCAACAAAGAATAAAAATGCTTATTATGCATTTTCTTTTATGGTTTCAACACAACTTCTTATCAGTTTTGGCATTAATGCAATAATTCAACAATACAGACCCTACCTACACAGTTGAACTTTATTGGGGATATATATATCTCCCTAATAATGCATTTACTAGTGTAAAGAAGAATAAGAAGAGAGTAATACAATAAAAAAAAGTGAGATGGAACAAAAACATTCCTGTGTTTATAGTGATAAAGTTTGGTATATTAGTAAATCACTTCATACCTTTCAAGACTCCCTTAAAAGAAATCTCAGAAACCATGAAATGTTTTCATTGGTTATTTATAACACCATATAGTGACTGAAATGGAGAGAAAGGTAAGGGGCAGTCTCTAAAGTAGCATTACTCATTACTAGAGGCCTGGTGCATGAAATTTGTGCATGGGTATGGTCCCTAGGCCTGGCTGGCAATTGAAGTACGAGCATCTGGCATGGAAGGGCAGGTCCCAGCTGACCTCTGGGCCCTGGGCAGCACCTGGGCCCCCACATGCCCCCCTTCGCCTGAGTCACGGTGCCTGGGTCCCCAGCAGAGATGTGGTGAGTACAGCCAGATGCCATGGGCTGGGGCACAGCGTGGGTCTCTGGGCCACCCAGAGGCACTGCACACAAGCAGGACGGGCAGCGCGCTCTCTCCTGACTGGCCTTGCAGACTGGCTCCTGCGCGAACCCAGGGGGAGTCAGACTAGCCCCAGAGGTTCCAGCGGCTGCGGCCCAGCTCAACAAGAAGCCACTGCGCACGGGTGTGGGGTGGGCTCCTCGCGGGCACCTGGCACCTGAGCATGGGTGGGGGGGGGGTGGCTTCCCCGGCAGGTGAGCCCTGGCGTCCCGGGGGAGGGTAGCAGGGAAAGTTAGAGCAAGCTTGGTGGACACCCCACATTCTCACTGCACCTCCATCCCCATCACCCCCCCGCCCCTGCTCCCAAGTAGCTTGGCGAGAGGTCTCAGTATATCCCCAACGCCCACCATGTTCTGCACCATCCCCTGGTGGTCAGCACACATCATAGCAGCACATATCATAGCAAGCAATCAAGCCACCAACTGAGGGGAGAATTTGCATATTAGGCTTTTATTATATAGGATTCCTTCAATCTAAAAGAGTTTTGTGTGTTTTTTTCTTCCAGATGTCAAGTTAAAACTGTCTTTACCCAAGTTAGTCTAGGAAAGGCACTAGAAATGAAATGAGTGGATTCCTTCACTCCAATCTGCCTTAAAAATGCACTAGGAAAAGGACTTACAATATATAAATAAGCTCTCTTCACATTGAGGTTTTTCTGGTGATAGGCACGACCTACTATAGAAATTATTCTGAGATTACAAAAACAAATTAGTTTTAAATGGAGAAAAGTCTTTCCCAGGCCCAAATTAAATTTATATTTCATTTCAAAGGCAAGGACTAAAAATGTTTAATGGACACAAATGAAAATAACTATAAGACCCCCATATTTAGTAAGGCCATAGTCAGCTATCAAATGAATAATCTGGTGCCTTTCACAGTATTTTAAACAGTCTCTGTATTCCAACTTACATGAAATTCAGCACAGTGTGTTCCATGTTTGGTCCAAGATGCTAATGATAGTAGCTGTTGCAATCAAATCAGTAGCACAAATGGTAGTACATTCACACCTAAGGTGCAGAGGAACATTCATACCACTATTCTCACTTCAGCTCTGTGTAAAGGACAGGAAATAATGTCATTCCTCCTTCAACAAATAAACCTGCCATTTCAGATAACTGATCCATGACCAGTTGCTAGTATTCAAACTGGCACTTAGAAGAACAGTGTCACCCTGCAAACCAACAGGAAGTGATTCCCAGCCTTAGACCTGAACCTGCTATCTAGATTTTTTCTTTTCTTTTTTAGCACACAATTGGGAAAGAAGCATATACAGTGCATACATACATACATACTTTGAAGGTTGTGACAACTTCATTGTTTCAATTACAACATATTTTATTGGAATCTGTGAGTGGCATCTTTCAGATGGGACAGGTGTTTCACCCCAGAAATAAGTGACTACTTTCTGTGCCTCGGAAAGCCAAGGTGTGGTACTGTTAGCAGTTGTCAAGGTGTCTGTTTACCCAACTTTTATCCAGCAGGAGCAAAGGTATTCAGCTCTTGAGGCATAAAGGGAAAGTGGAAAAGGACAAAAATTTAGAACTGAACTTTCAATAGTGAATTAAAATGTACAGGGTAGCACAGCACTTGACCATTCAATGCAGTACAAAAATAACTAAACCAGAGCAGCTCACAACTCACCAGGACAAGTTTGGAAGCTGTTTTTTGTGCCTTTTCTTTGTTTCCGACATACAAACAATAAGGGATTGCAAAAATAAACAAGATGTCAATCTCTCAAGATTTCAATAACTGAGTCTCGGAACCTAAGAAAATACTGGAGTCTTTCACTCTTTCTGCCCCACGCCCAGCCATCAGGAGGAAGGGAGGGGAACAGCAGCGCCTCCCTAGCATGGCTCCGCTGCTGTGCAAGAGCATGAAGGCATCGCGATGGAATCAAGTGTGAAAATGTTTTATTCTAGAATATTGTAAGGTGGCCAGTAGTGAAAACAGAGACAGAGAAAACAGCACGGAGGCAAGGAATCATGGGAGGCTTGAGTCCATACAGTGATCACAATAATGATAATATAGATAATAACATTAAGTAACTGAGCGATCATAATGTTTAAAGAAACTGAGCCCCTCTATATTCCAAATATATAGGGGGCTTAAACATACATGTAATTATAACAATCTTCACAACTATCAGTGTTATCACTTCTGTTATATAGGTATGACAACTGAGGCTCAGACATACTGACTGTTCACACAGGGTCACTCAGCATGCAGTTACTCTTTTGGGTAAATAACAAGAGATCATATTAAATGATGATGGCTAGACATATAGACATGTTTGTCACAGCTAACCAAACTCATGGGGTTTTAACCTAAGACTGCCTCCAAAGCCTGACTAATAATTTAAAAAATTATATTGTACCAGCTTTACTAATAAAAATATTTTATTAATGATTACAAAAGATAATCTTATGATTTATCAAATCAACAGACTAAAAAGGAAACAATATAAGTTTAATGGACACTTAATATTATGCACTCCATTGACTTAAAGAATGAATGACTATGAGTACAAGATGACAAAGGATAAATAGGCTTTTTTTTTTTTAAGGAAAGAATGGGAAATCTCTTTAACCTTTTTTTATTGCTGCATCCATCCCATGAAAGGAACTTTCTTCTTATAATAAAATTACATCTTGATCTTCAATAAATGTTTGTTTTGTAAACTCTGGACAATTAGTAAAAATAAAAATGTAATACAATATTATATTTTTGTATTAATATTACTTTTTGAAGAGAGCTTAATAATAAGCTGTTTTACAATGTATGGATTCTCTAAAAATGTTAATTATTATAAATTACAATAAATATTACAGAAATACTTTAAAATTTAAAAATACTACATAATTATTTATTAATCACAAATATAGTCATATTTATAAGGGGAAAAAATTAAAATTACTTTGAATTTTCTAAGACTACAGTATTCTGAAATGTACTGACCAAAATGAATGATAATTATGTATGGCACATTCAGAAGGTGCATATATTTTCTGCATAAAAATTATGCTATTTTCTTTATTTTCATGCTCACACACTTCAGATCCTATTTATAATATAGATAAAATGGGAAGAAAAAGAGAGAGTGAACTATTCCACAGATACTGCAAACTCTCAGAAAAATATTATTTTACTGTTAAAACAGAACCTGTTGGTCTCTTCGGCTACCACACGTGTTTTAAAAGTTTTGTTTTGCTGTGGTTTTAAAGCTCAGTGCAATCTCTCTACCGCCGCTTCCAACGGGCGAAAAAACAAAGAGTTAAAACTCAAATGCAACAGTAAACCACAGGGCAGAGACCAGGCTCTCTCAGCCCATTCCTTAACAAACTTGTTGCCAGTCCTGTCTGCACCATCCTAACTCCTATGTTTCTCTGGCCTCAAGCCAAGAGTATCATTTTACTGCGAGTAAAGAAAAAGACTTTCATTCTTCCAATCTTGTACTACTTTCACCCCGACCTTGTAATCTTGTTTTTCCACATTTCTAACTGCTCAAACAAAAGCCTTCCCCCCTGAAATATTCATAAATGACAGGGAAAAGAAGAGAATGGGAAGGAGATGTTCTCTGTACAGATAGCACTCCTAGTCCTGGGCGCTATTTTAAACACCGATAAGGACAAGCTTGGAAGCAGGGACTCTGCTCACACCCAGTGAATTCAGGTAAAGTCTCCATTGTTCCACATTGCCATGGTCTGGTGACAGGAACCCCAACTAGAGCAAGCTTGCCCTGCATTTTCCTCGGCATTTAGATGCCAACTCTGATAAAGTCACGCCTTAAAATATCCACACAGCATGCAGCATACAGATAGCAACGAAGCCTTCAGCCATTCCCAGACACAGATGAGACGGTAAAAAGGGGAGGAAATCGGAACAAGACTTACAGACACAAGTAGACACACACAGCCAACCCATTTGTAACTACGGCTGTCGAGATCCTTCCTCACACTAGGGACCTACGTGGATCCAACAACAAAAATAGTGGAGAGAGTCCATCCCTCCCCCACCCCTGCTTCAGATTTTCTCAGAGGAGCCCATTGCTTTCTGTCACTAGTCTCCTTGGAGGGGTGTCCAAATGCATTCTTCATTGCTCTTTTTCTTTCAATTCCAGTGACTCCCTGAAATGTCTAATTCCTCACTCTTTATTCTCCTGAACCTCCCACAAGATTTGACTTCTCTCCTAGGGCAGAGATCTCTCCCCTGAGCTACCCATAGAAACCAATTCCCCCACTGCCTTCCCTCCCAACATTCCCCAAAGATCCAATCCTCTCCTCTCCTGCTATTTTCCTTTCCAGCTGTTCCCTAAAGAACCTGACATCACTATGAGTGAAAATACAGAAGAGGTCTGGGAAGGAGAGGAGAGAATACCACTGTAACAACACACACACACGCATACACACACTGAAGGAATGATACTTAATTCCTGAACTGTCTGTTATCTGTAAGTTTTGTTTATACACATTACATCCTACCACCTCTAATAGACTCAAATTTTCCCAAATGCCTTGATGAAATAATTGTATCTACAAAAACAACAACACAACTTACAGAAAGCTTTACCAACTTATAAAACTGTAACCAAAGTCCAAAGAATAAAGTGCAAAGATCATTTTTTACCTCCAATCAAACATTGGAAATCAGAATTCTGGGGTGGGGAGTGGGAGGAGGAGGAAGCTTTAACCAAACCGTGGACAGATTGGCACCATGCTCAAAAACTCTGTTGCTCACAATTTAACTAAATTCTATTTCAGGAAACTATTTTGCTGAAAAGTTTGTATTAAGATTTAAGAGTCTTGAAACAACTTTTACACTGTTTAATTTTCGCCTTTTCAGATAATAAAACATCTCTGGGGCAAAAGATAAATATGTATAATATTTTCTTTTTTAAAAAATATATTTTATTGATTTTTTACAGAGAGGAAGGGAGAGGGACAGAGAGCTAGAAACATCGATGAGAGAGAAACATCGATCAGCTGCCTCCTGCACACCCCACATTGGGGATGTGCCCGCAACCAAGGTACATGCCCTTGACCGGAATCAAACTTGGGACCTTTCAGTCTGCAGGCCGACGCTCTATCCACTGAGCCAAACCGGTTACGGCAAATAATATTTTCAATAACACTTTCTTCATTCTATATATTTTTACAACCAGAAATACAATTATAAGAATTATTTTTTTTCTTTTTAAGATATAAAATCCCTAAATGTACTTTATTGATAAATTGATAAACTTCACAATTAGCTATTTCTGTTGGCGGGGGGGGGGGGGGGGGCGAAGGCATTATTATGACTGAAAATAATGAACCAAGTAATTAGTATTTAAGTATTTTTGACACTGACCCTATTTCCTCTGTGGTTTCTAAACAAGTAAGATACAAAAAGAGAGAATCAAACTCTTTTCCTGTTTAACTTAGGACACCCTTGTTTTTCTAAATGAAAAGAGGGTCTAACAACTTTTAAGAAAAAAAAAATCTGTTCTTTGTAGATTTTCCATTTGATGCAAAGTATCTAACAGCCCGTTGACACTAAGAAAAATCTAAAAGTGAAGTACATCAAGTCTCACTTTCATATATCTTGTTCATATTTAGTACTATGATGAACATATTAAATAATTCATGTATTTAAGATGTAATTCATATGTAATACTTAGACGACAACAGTACTAAAAAGTGTCTCTCCAATTTAAATGCTTTAGAAGTAAAAGATTTTAAAATTTTTAATGTAATTCCTATTCCAAGTACCTATCATTGCACCTATCAGCTCATCATATGGTAAAGAATGGATATGTCCTACACCTTTCTTGACAATATATTAGAGAATTTTTTTAAAATAACTGCGACATCCTAAATTGGAAGTGAAAAGACTCGAAGTTAATCTATCTATTACCTGTGTGGCCTTGGACAATTCCTTAACTTTTCTTTGTTTGTTTCACACCTCTAAGATGAAAGGGGCTGAAATATCTCTTAAAAGCTCTGATTAAATGAAATGAAAGTAATCAGGGGCATAATCCTAAATTTGACAAAAGGTAGCATAAAAACAACAGAGACACTAAATTGAATTTTCAGGAGGATGGACTGGCTATAAATCAAGGAAAAATGATTGAAATTACTAAGTAGAAACCAACAAGACATCATTTTCAGTATTTAGGTCACTGACTATTCTCCAAAGTATTTAAAATGGGTGTTATGCTTGATGTCAACTAGAACATATCACCAGCTGCTAAGAAACGAAAAAATGAAGACTATAAGATGTACAATTATTTCATAGGGGATTTTTCTTAAAGTAAACAGACGTATAGAAGAACTTTACACATTTCTTTTACATTTTTCTTCCATTTACATAGCACAAAGAAACTTCCTTACAGTAGCCTAATGGGCTACTTTCACCAATACCCTGTGATCTGTATTTGATCTCAATAAGCACAATGTCATGCATGAAAGAAAGAGGGAACCTCTTCTAAAAACCCCTAGTGTGTTGACTTGGGGAGGGGGTTAACATACAATACAATATACAGATGATGTATTATAGAACTGTACACCCAAAACCTATATAATTTTATTAGCCAATGTCACCCCAATGAAGTCAATAAAATAAAAATAAAAAAAAAACACACACCTTAGTGTGGCCCACAACCTCAGAGAGCTGAGCTCCGGGCTGAGCTAATGAACTGATGTGACCTGAGATCTGATCCCACTGCAGTAGCCATCAGGCTCCAGTGGTAGTGTTACTTTACCAAAATAAACCCCTCCTCAACGCGCAAGAGTGCCAAGAGCACTCCCAGGTGCCAACTTCTACTCTTCTGGAAGAAGATTCAACTAGCAAAGTTAGAAGGGCTTTGAACTGTTTTTCTGTAGTAGGTACATATACTTAGATTCTACTCATCCTAAAATCCATTTTCAAAGTATAAACGCACTGCATTACATGCTCATTGTAGAAAATTTGGAAATCTAGAAAATAACATAGAACCCATATTATAATTCCAACACTCAAAGATGACCACTGCATTTGATGTATATTCTTCCTATCTTTTCTCTATGAAATACTCATACAGTAGTGAGTTTTTATTTACCAATTTGAGATTCTACCAAATGAAATTGTGCAGCCTTTTAAATTTATTTTGTAAAATTCCTATGCCATCATAACGTTTGTGCACCTAATTTTTAATAACTGCATCTTATTTCTCCCAGTGGGCATGCCATTTAAAAAAACAACAAAAAACAATCAGCCATACTCTAAAGCATTTTTAAAAACTTAAATGTGAAAGTTAATTTTCTGTATCAAATATTCAAGCTGAGATTATTTTAAAGGTGATTTTTAAAAATATATTTTTATTGATTTCAGAGAGGAAGGAAGAGGGAGAGAGAGATAGAAAAATCAATGATGAGAGAGAATCATTGATTGGCTGCCTCCTGAACACCCCCACAGGGATGGAGCCTACAACCTGGACATGTGGCCTTGACCTCCTGGTTCATAGGTCAATGCTCAACCGTTGAGCCATGCAGGTCTGGCAAAAAGTGATTTTAACAGTTGATTTATCAGGCTCTTGGTAAACAAAAAATACAAGCAGACCCAAACTTACACCACTGAAAATTTTGTGATCAACTCCCCCTTTATTTTATTCAAATACTAGGGGCCCAGTGCACAAATTTGTGCACCTTGAAAGGAACTGTGGGC